AAAAACTGAAATACCTAGGAATCAACCTAACAAAAGAAATCAAAGACCTCTTCTCTGAAAACTGTAGCACTCTGAAAAGAGAGATTGAAGATGATATCCAAAAATGGAAAGATATTCCTTGCTCCTGGGTAGGAAGTATCTACATAGTGAACATGACCATACTTCCAAAACTGCTATATAGATTCAATGCAATCCAAATTGAAATCCCAGCAGCATACTTTATGGACCTTGAGAAACAATCCAAAAATTTATTTGGAACAAGGAGAGACCTAAAATAGCAAAAACAATTCTAGGCAACAGAGACATGGCAGGGGGTATCACAATCCCCAATTTGAAACAGTGCTTTTCTTAATGACTTTCATTGAGCCTATCATCTTGGTATTTCCAGGCTCTTCTCCATAGTTTCTGAACACTTTTTAATATCTCCCAGAGGGCTATTACCTTTGATCTCCTTCTTCTTCATTTCAAGTCCTTCTTATCACTCAACGTACACTAGGCTCTACTTGTTTTGTAGAGAGAAAATGCACAATCCTTTAAAATCCAAAAAATCAAATTTTCACAGCAATAGCAAATACATATAAAACAAAATGAAATGGTTTCTTTAACGGTCTTTAAAGACAAGCTGAAAGAAAGTCATTAGTCTTAGCCTTCTCTTATTCTCCAAAATATTAATCAGTTTTATTTTATTACAAAGAGAAACAAGGATAAAAGCAAAAACAATAACAGCAAAAACAAAGACCAGGGAAAACTATTAAGTACATCAATATGTTAAAACATTCTGAATTAGAATACTATTGTTTATAAAATTCCTGTTTTAACACTGATTTATACACTAATTTAACCACCTCTTGTTTGTTTGTGTGCATGTGGGAGGGGTACTGGGGATCTAACTAGTGCTCTCTGCCACTCAACTAAATCCCTATCCCCTACTCTTTTTATTTTATTTTATTTTATTTTTTATTTTGAGGCTGTGCTGGCCTTTGCAATCTTCCTGCCTCAATCTCTAGAGAAACTGTGACTACAGAGTACACCCCACCCTTCCACAGGGTTGATCACATCTTCACTCATTCATTTGCACAAGGGATACTTGTTTATTTTTCACTGTATCTAAGATGCATTTGTAGCCAAAAAAAAAACCCCAACACTGTGACAAATGAAGCAGGAAAAATTCAGATCAGCACAACTTGGGAATCAACAGTTTAGGAGTCAGAGGTTTTAGAAGTGCATTTTTTGATCCTGAGTCCTAGGTGACTTGAAAACAGGAGTTTAGTGATGTGATTGGTGATGAGACAGAATAATTATTTTCTCTGCTATTCCACCTGTAGGTCTTTCACTTAGTAAAACATAAATGAGAAGAGGATGAAGAGATGGTGTAT